TGTACGTGCCCTGACTGGGGATCTTACCTGAAACCTTGGTGCACAGGGAGGACACTCTAACCAACGGAGCTACCCATCCAGGGCCCATTACATTTATTTCCTAGTTATAAGCTCAAATTTGAATTTAGAAAAGTACATGACGTGACTCCTTACCAGTCTTTTAGCTCAGGCGTGGGGTAGGAGGGATGTGTCAGAATAAAGGAGGCATGTGGGTAGAAAGGTACATTTTGAAGTTGTGAGTGTCTTCATGCTTACATTTGTCTTTGTCAGGAAGTGGCTGTGGGAGCTGAGAGTGATGTGTCTTGACAAGGAGTGGGGCTCAAACAGAGTTTTTCTGCATAACCTTCCAAATGTATTGTTTTAGATAGCACCTGAAAAAAACGATCTTAAACTTTTAAATGCCATAGAACTCTATCAAGATCGTTTCTCGGGAGAATATGCATTAGGAGGTGTTCACTTTTCCAATTTTCTAAGGACTCTTGAGTAAACTAACTTTAGCTGAGTCTTACAAATCAATACAATGAGGCTTGGGATGCTACATGACTGTTGCCTGTAAGAGTAAAAGCATGCTTTCACCTTCATTCACTCTGCACTGGTGGTAACAACAGCCCTTGGGTTCCTATTCCTGTGCTGGAAGCTTTACATACACTATCTCACTTGATCCTGACTATGATCCAAAGAGGGAGGAGGTAACATAATCCATTTTATACACGAGGAAAAACCCTTAGCGCAGTTAAGTAAATGACACTACTGTGTCAGAGCTGAGATTCCATTCAGATCCAGCCTCTTTTTAAAAAAATTGATGTCAGAGAGGAAAGGAGAGGGAGAGACAGAAACATCAATAATGAGAGAGAATCATTGATCAGCTGCCTCCTGCATGCCCGCACTGGAGAGCAACCCAGGCATGTGCTCTGACCCCTACCCGGGAATCCAACTGTGACTTCCTGGTTCATAAGTCCACGCTCATACACTGAGCCACGGCAGCCAGACTAGATCCATCCTCTTCGAGGTTACTCTCATTTGGTTCCTAATGGTTGTTTCTAACTGCCATCCCTGTGTCCAGCAAAGGGAAAATTAGAGCTCAGATGTGTGTTCTAGTGCTGAATTGTTCATGATCATACCTGTTTACTGTTTGTTTGGGCTTGGAATTGCTAAAGAGAACATCTGTGGTGAGGTAGGAAAAATAATGGCCCCCAAAAGATGTCCCTATGCTAAACCCCAGAACCCAGAACATAAGGATTAATATAATGATTTTGAGATGAGATATTTAGAATTACCCAGGGGTCCCAACCAATCACAGTAGTCGTTAAAAGTGGAGGAGGGAGGCAGGAGAGAGTCAGAGACAGGATGACTAAAGCAGATGTGAGGGTGGCGCAATTGCTGTCTGGGAGCCACAAACCAAGGTACATGGCAGCCTCTGAGCTGGAAAAGGCAAGAAAACAGATTCTCCTCTACCGTCTCCAAAAGCAACGAAGTGCTGCCAATAGCCTTGATTTTAGCTCCATAAGAATCATTTCTGACTTCTGGCCTCCAAAATTGTAAGACAATAAGTTTGTGTTGTTTTTAAGCCACTAAATGTGTGGTGATTTGTTATAGCAGCCACAGGAAACTAATATAGATGATATTTAACATTCAGATCCTTCCACGACACAGGGGCCACAATTCATGCGGCAATGCTTCATAATGCTGTCCCTTTACCACGGAAGCGGTGGTAGGTGTTATAAATAACAAGTATGAAGAGAAGGAGTTGATACTGCCCCTGAGGTTCTAAGGGCCAGCCTCACAAGGACATGTAGAAAGGCCTCACAGTCTTCAGGAGCTTCCTTTTTGTTCTCTTAATAGCACTGAAGCATCTTAAATTCATTACTTCATCATCTACTGAGCACCTACTACGTTCCAGGTTCCAGAAATTCGAAGATGAGTAGGACTCAGATTCATGAGGAGCTTGCAGTCTAGCAGGGTGGCAGGACACATAAACAAGTTATTTCAAGGCAACAAGATATCTGCAAAGACAAAAATATCTTCAAGAAAAGAATCCTAGAGCATGGGAGATGAACTCTGCTTAGGGAAGGTGAAAGGAGCAGGGAGGTTTGGGGAGGGGTTGATGTCACAACTGGGGGTGTCTAACATCTTCGGAATCCCCAGCTTTGGTGGGAGAGGTTCTGACACCTAATCTAGGGGACCCAGATCTAGTTTCTGTGACGGCTGTGGCCTCTGTGGAATCTCTTTGCTGCAAATTTAAAGGCTGAGAAGAGAGGGAGTCCCTGAGAGGAAGAGTACAGGAAGGAGAATTGCTGATACCCACACACAGCAGATGCTTGGAGCCATTCTCCATGATTTCCATGGAATTTCAAGAGATAAAGAGCCTTGCTGGCGTGGCTCAGTGGTTGAGCATCAACCTAAGAATCAGGAGGTTGGGGTTCGATTCCCGATCAGGGCCCATGCCCAGGTTGTGAGCTTGATCCCCAATAAGGGGGGAGGGGGGGGGTGCAGGAGGCAGCTGATCAATGGTTCTCTCATCATTGATGTTTCTATCTATCTCTGCCTCTCCTTTCCTCTCTGAAATCAATAAAAAATATATTTTTTTAAAAAGAGAGAAAGAAAGTGAAAGGTTTCATAAACTATAATGTACCAGCTAGATGTTAAAGTATTATTATCTACTTGCTTGGGATTCATGCTTAGATATCGGGAAATTTTTTTTATCTCTAAACTAAGTCATTCTTCCTCTTAAGAAAATAAACACAACAATGGACATAAAAACTAGATCTATGTTTCCTGAGCAATACTTAAGCATGCTCCATTTAAAATATGTTGATTTTGGATACAAGAATTTATCATTTTATACAGATAGGGGTGGGCAAACTTTTTGACTCGAGGGCCACAATGGGTTCTTAAACTGGACGGGAGGGCCGGAACAAAAGCATGGATGGAGTGTTTGTGTGAACTACTATAAATTCAAAGTAAACATCATTACATAAAAGGGTACGGTCTTTTTTTTCAATAGTTTTATTCATTATACGGGGCCGTATCCGGCGCGCAGCCAATAGTATGCCTACGGTTGCACTATCCCCTTCCTCCTCCGCTGTTCCATCAGCCTCTGTGCGCTCCTACCTATGTCCCATCATCCTCTGTCCCATCTGCCTCTGTACCCTCCCTTTCTAGGAAACTGAACTTTAAAGCTGGAAAGTACTTTAAAGATCATTTAATCAGAACTTGTTTTACAGATGAAGCACCTAAGGTCTGCAGGGGTGGAAAGCCCATGCAGGTGACAGAGATGGGGCAGTGCCAACATTAATACCCAAATCCCTCCAACTCCCAGCCCCAAGGACACTGCACTGCTGGCTTAGTTTCCTTCAAGGTTTATCTGGACTTACTATTTTGTTCCCAAATTTTTAGGCAGTAAAAATTCTACCTTTTCAGTGCAAGTCTTTTTTCACAAAATAAGTTTCACTACTGATCAGGGTTTTAAATTCATTTAACCGATTTTACAAGTGAAGAAAGTAAAGTAGAAATTGTACATGTTAAGGAGAAAGGTAGCATAAGTCAGCCCAAAGTAATTAAATACGTAAAGTGTTTCGTGTATAACATTTTCATTATAAACTCATGAGTTCATTTAAATACTTATGAACATTTCCCTCAAAGTAGAAAGTGGCATTTTTTTCTATGACAAATGGCATCCTTGTTAAACAGTGAAAAGGTTGGTTAGAGAAGAGCCTTGGCTGTTCCACAAGCTGGAAGGTGATTGCCAAGAAGAGGGAGCAATCTCTACTCTTGGGCCGTCAGGGCGAGGGCTCGCGGGAAAGCCTCCTGGCAGAGCTGGATCCACGATCCACGCCTACAAGGTCTGACACAGAAAAGGGTATCACCAAGGGATGCTACCGCCAATGTTCCCCCTATCATTTCAACCACAGACTTCAGACAGTGACTTTCCACCTGTTTATCGTTTTGTTTTTTCCGGAGTCAATCAACTGGGTAACCCCTAGAGCAGTGGTTCTCAACCTGTGGATCGGGACCCCTTTGGGGGTCCAACGACCCTTTCACAGGGGTCGCCTAAGACCATCGGAAAACACATATATAATTACCTATTGTTTTTGTGATTAGTCACTATTATGTTCAATTTATAACAATGAAAATACATCCTGCATATCAGATATTTACATGACGATTCATAACAGTAGCAAAATTACAGTTATGAAGTAGCAACGAAAATAATTTTATGGTTGGGGGTCACCACAACATGAGGAACTGTATTAAAGGGTCGCAGCATTAGGAAGGTTGAGAACCACTGCTTCAGACAGTGATTTTCCACCTGTTTATCATGTTGTTTTCCGGAGTCATTGGATCAACTGGGTAACCCCTAGTGTTTCCCTCATCTAACTGGAGGAAGATCTGACAGTTCACCCGGTCTCGCATGGGAGGGCTTTCCAAAATGACCCCAAGGGTTGGAATCCAGCCCCTTTGCAGGGAAACCCCGGGCGGAGAGAAGACTCCTCCGTGCGTCACCGCCTCACGCGCACCCGACCTGAGTGGACTGGCTGTGCTCTTTCTGGTTATAGTCATCCTACCTTCAGTGCTTTTGTTCC